CGTGAGTGAGTGTGTGGGACGGTTTTGTTTCTTCTGCAAAGAGCTGCTAAATTCCACAATGGGCAATGGTTCAATATTAATAAATGTATTTAAAGAAAGAGATGTAGACATTCCTGTGCAGTGGCGAGGACTACCGTGCCGGGCTCGGACCAGTAAACTCTGTTAGACGAATAAAGACTTGAGAGGCAGAGAATAATTTTGTGGGGTGGGGTGAGTGGTAGACAGGAGTCTTCACCGGAATAGAGTGAGGACCCAAACTGACTCAAACCCCCAGGTTTATTGAGGCGCGACAAAGCAATAGGGTTTTGCTGAGTACAGATGCTTGTTTAAGGTAGCAATGCAGGCAATCAAGGCACGTGACAGGTTGGCTGAATAATTAGCTTATCCGATTGTCCCCCAGGGAGCCCCTACCCCAAGGTCCATCTCTGTGGGAAGTGGCAAAATATCTCATTTTCAAGACGTTTTGGCTCCTCAGGGCCAGCAGTCTTTCATCTCTAGAGTCAAAAACAGCAGGCAGGGAGCTGTTGCCGAGAGTGCCACACTAAGCGCAGGGAATCAGGCAGTGGAAACTCTTAATTCTTGCCCTGGCAGTGTGATTTTTGAGCAGGTTATGTCCTCTCGTCTTGCCTATGGTTTCTTCTTTGTAAAATGGGCACAACAAAGTGTGGTTGCCTTGTATGCTTGTGAATTGAGTTGAACTGTATAAGGGACATAAGAAACTGGAGGTAATATTTATGATATTGTACACATGGAAAAAGTAATCGCTACATTTGTTTGCCAAATGAAATACTTAGCTATCCTCCTGGAAGATTTGTTGTGTTCATATCCTAAATATGTATGATGTGTCTGATCGCTCGGGTTAATTTTTACTGGGGTCTGTGCAGGACTGATAGGCATGCAGGGTCCATGAGAAAGTATCTCTGCATTTCAGTTCTCCAGGGGGCTAGTCTTGCCTTGCAACTTCTTTCATTTCTCCTTCCTGCCGAATTCTCTTTTCTTCTTTTTCACTTCATTCATCAAACAGTTATGCACTAAATTGAAGGCATTACACTAGGATTAGTAGATGAGTGAAAAACATCTTGACTTCAAAGAACTGGAGATTCAGGTTGAACACGAAGCACGGGTAAGTGAGTCAACAGTCAGTTTTGGGAGGGCCTGATTTTGGCTACTCAGACACCAGCACAGATGAGGGAAAAGCACAGATGAGAGGAGGAAAAGCCTTCCGAGAAAAGTAAAACTTGCTTCAACCTGGGGAATGGGAGATTTGGGTGGAAAAGATGAGCTGCTAGGAGATGGACAGGAAAGAAGACACCGTGTAGAGTGACGCATTCTAGCCCACTGAAAAATCTAGGGACAAGACTGTGTTTGGCACATTTGGAAGCTATAAGGAGATTAATGAAGTGTAGGAGTTTGTTAAGATATTAAAGGGCCAACTGTATAGGCCTTTTTAGTCTATGCTAAAGTTTGGAATTTCCTCTCAAACTCAGAATATCCGTAAGATTTTTAATTGATATTATTAGTACAGATGAATGAGATTTGTGCTGGTGTATGGGTACATACATATAACATGTATTGATTATTTTCATCTCTGCTACCTCCTTTCTCTTTCCTCTCCCTTTCCCCTAATCTTCCCTATCACTAGAACAATACCTTCTAGTTCCCTATTCTTTTTCTTTTGTTTTTTTTTCATTAATTTTAATTTATTTTTAAATTCCTCACATATAAGAAAACATGTGGCTTTCAACTTTCTTAGACTGGCTTATTTCTCTTAACATAATGGTCTCAAATTTCATCTATTTTCTTGCAAATGACATAATTTCATTCTTCTTTATGGATGGATATATTCCTGTATGTGTAAGTGTGTGTGTATTGCATTTCTTCATTCATCTATGGATGGGCATCCTGGCTATTCCTGCAGCTTACCTATTGTGAATTGTATCACTATAAACATAGATATCTACAAGTGACTATAGTATTCTGTTTTTAATTATTTTGCAACTATACCAAAGAACGGTATAACTAGGTCAAATGGTACATCTAGTTTTAGTTTTTTGAGGAATCTCCAAAATGATTTCCATAGTGATCATACTAGTTTACATTCCTGCCAACATTGCAGGAGAGCTCCTTTTTTCCCTTTTGATTTTTTTTCTATATTCTAGATATAAAGATACTGAAAGAGTAGTTAACAAAGATTTTTCTCCCATTCTGTAGGTTGTCTTTTCACTCTGCTTGTTCTTTGGCTATATTCAAGCTTTGTTTTCTGTGCTTCTTGGGTCCTATTTAGGAAGTCTTTGTGTCTATGAAACATAGACTTTAAGCAGGAAAATGTCATGAATGACTTGAGTTCTAGGTAGAATCCTCTGAGATCGGTGGGGAGTATGTTAGAAAGAGCTAAGGTTGGAAGTGGTTAATTGTAAAGGATATGCATATATGTAAATATACACACATATATTTGCATATGTTCAGAACATGCACCAAGGAGGAACTAATGGTATAAGTGAGGTTGATAGCATCAAGAAGTGCAACTTTATGAACTTCGCTGGTCAGATTCGCAAAGTGAGGAATGAGGAGCTACATCAGGATGACACAACTGAAGCTGGTCACTGAGCTAAGTGGCTTAAAGGTATAATTTGGCAAGACTTCATTTCTCAATCTTGGATATTTGGCTGCCTGTTGAATATTTAAGTGAACATACCTGTAAAGTCTGGAATTGAGAGATAGAGGAGAGAAATAGGTTTAGTATGTGCATATAAAGTGAAGCTGTGAATAGGGCATTGGAGGACTGTAGGGGTGTGGAGTGAGACAACAAGACAAAACCAGTCTTGGAAGCATCAACATCAGAAGTGTGGTTATAGTTCGTGGTGGCATGAAGGGAAGATGAGAAGTGATAATAGGAAAAAGTGTATCAGTCCCCAAGCTCCTAATGCTACAGGGTTATTCCTGAAGGGTACTGGCTGTAGAGGACCACAGAGCAGACAATGAGGCCTGGATCAGCTCCTGACAGATAAATCAGGTTCTATAGTTGAAAAGTATGTTGTACTGTTGAAAATTTCGATGAAAAGAGACTTACTAAATGGACCACCAACTATAGAATAGGAATCTAATGACTTAGCTTCTTAGTTACTTTTCTCTTGTTGCTGAGACAAATTAAGGGAAGAAGGGTTTATTTAGCACAAAGTTTGTAGAGGTTTCAGTCCACAAATGCTGGCTCCAAGGCAGAGTGGCATCACATAGAACAGTTCATGGTGGGCAGAAGGTAGCGAAGTAATAAGGGACCTAAACAGGGTCTTTCTGCCCCAGACTACTTAGAGCGGGTAGCACTCCAGAGTACTTAGGAGGCTGGACTGCTTCCAGACTGTTACGGCAGGTAGCACTCACACCCTTAATCCGAGTGCCCTTAAACTTAGCATTGCACCATGAATCAATTCCAGCAGCACACTCTCTAGATCCAGCCACCTCTGAAAAAAAAAAAAACTCACCTATGACTGCCTGAAGCTTTGCAGAGGCACCTAAACACAAGCCATAACACTTAGAATGGGTGGCTTCTTCTTTCTTATATTGGCCACACTTCCAGTGGTATTACCAATCCTGCTTCTGGCACATGCTGTGCCTCTCTTGGGTTCCAGCTAAGTCTCCAGTTTGTACTACGAAGATTACTGTGGTCTTGTGAATAAATGCTGCTCTCAGCCTGAAATTTGGGAATATTGTTAATTCTGGCTATGCATTTCAATTGTCAGTAGTGCCTCCTGGGGAAGTTGGTAGCTTGTGCTGATTAAATCTAATTGGATGGCAAGCATGATTAAAAAAAAAGTATGAAAAAATGTTCAACATCTCTGGCCATGAGAGAAATACAAATTAAAACAACCCCAAGATTCCCTCTCACTCCAGAAAGAATGCAATCATTAAGAAATCAAATACTAACAAATGCTGCTGAGGCTGTGGGGAAAAAGAGCACACTTTCATTGTTGGTGGGAATGTAAACTAGTACAGTCATTATGGAAATCAGAGTGAAGATTTCTCAAAGAACTGAAATTAGAAATTACACACAATGTAGCTATCCCCCTGCTAAGTATCTTCCCCAAGAGGTTAAGACATCACACTACAGTGATATGCACATATTAGTGCTCATGGTAACACAATTTGTAAGAGCTAAATGCTGGAAGCAACCTGTGCACCCTTCAACAGATGATTGGATACAGAAAATATGATGCATAGATTTTCAGACCAGTTCCCATGTGCTTTTATCTCATTCTAGGAGTAATCTTAGCGATGGGGATGGGATTTCCTTTACAACTCTCCTTCCTGGCCTTTGGGCTGAGAGTCAGCTGGACTGAACAGGAGTGAAAACTGTATTCCCAGTTAGATCTGTCTTTCTTGAATTCCTACTGTGTGCTAGGTAAATCTGAATATAGGAGAATGTGATCCAGACTGCAGTCGTGTGGCTTCCAGTGTTCAGGAGTATGGAGGGTCAGAGAGATGCACCAGAAAAGGAGGGGCGGTTAGTCCAGGAGAATGAAGGCCAAATGAAGAGTTCCCAAAAGACGAAAGTGACCTGGTCAAAGGTGAGAGCCCAAGTAAAATGCAGTTTCACAAATGACCAGTGGAGGGGCAACTATTCTAGGTAATATAGACACGAAGACAATAATTATATTAACACTAGGTGTTACAATTAGCATTTATGGCTAAAAACCAGGCACTGTTAGCTGCTTTACGTGTTTTAACTTACTGAATTTTCACAGCCTCCTTAGGAAGAAAGTACCGTCATAACCCCTATTTTAGAGGCAAAAAAGTGAGAAACAGCCCTAAAGAATTTCGTCAAAGGTAAGCAAGCACTAAGTGTTGGAAACTGGAGTAAGGCTGAGTGAATCTGGGGGTGGATCTACACTTATAGACATAATAAGACGTAGAAATCGAAAGCAATATGTTTCACATAACTCATTGCAATGGAAAAGGAATAAAGCAAAGTCAGCCTGGAGAGGTTAGAGCAGACTCTGAGAACGTGGTGGTTTCGTGTAGTTATTGAAGAGTGAGCCGATCATCAATAGGAGGAAGTCAAAGGCATTCTAGGAAGAAGAAAACACATATGCAAGTATGAGGGCATTCCAGGAGCCCCATGTGCAAGTTACTTCAGGCTCTTCTGTTGTCTGGAGGGCAGGCAGAGGTGTTTTTAGGCTTGTGTGCCTGGTTTATTTCACACAAAGCATTTCTATATTACTTTGATTGGCCTGGATCATTAAAAGGAAAAATGTCTCATATTTGGATTCAACATTTTTGACATCGCACAGAAAAAGTAAAGTCATCGACTAAGTATAATTATTAGCATTTCTTTCAAAATCCTAAATGGTTGAACAGCATCTTGAGAAATTTATGGATATCAAATATCATGTGCCCCAGTAATGATAATGAGAAGAAAAACAAGATCAAATTAATAGGTCTTAGAGGAATATAATATAAAATATTGATGAAGGAAAAAGAACTTTGTAAAAGTATGTTGACAAAACCTTTTGATATGATTTAAAAATATAGAGATCAGGATGTGGCCGAGTGGGAGCACACTAGAATGCATGAGGGCTCTAGGTTCCACCCTTAGCATTGGAAAAAAAAAACATGTATAATAATAAGGAGGATTGCACGTAATAGTGACTAAGAAGCAGTTTTTCAGTAAAACCAGGAATCAGACTACAACTCTCTTTAGCACTGTTATCATTACTATTGCTCCAGTGGAAACATTTTTTTTTTTGGTGCTGGGGATCAAACCCAGGCCTTCATGTTCTAACACTGAACCAGAACCCTAGGCCCTCCAATATAATTAAACAGAAAAGCAAAAGAGCAGATTTTGAAGTGAAAAGCAACGCACAAGTTTTCATTCTGTGAGTGTATCCCGTGAGAGCCACTGAAAATTTGTCAGCGTCATCACTGGTTACTTACACTCATTGAGCACTTGAAAATCACCATGGAAATTATGCTGCATATTTGATTAACTTCATTTATCCTACAACTTCATAGACAAGGGAACTGAAGCTTAAAGATTTAGATGCGGATTCAGAGGGCACACAGTGTGTCACTTCAGAACTTACCTCAAACTCATGGCTGCAGGCCTGACGGGGCTCCGCTGGGAGAATCAGAGTTCCGAGTGCTGGCGGGCAGGACAGGTGCTCGCAGTTCAACTCTTCTCTGTGTCTCTGTTTTCTCGGGGCGTGAAACTGGAAGCATCATTTTTTTTGCATTAGCAACCATGATGCCATGCAGCAAATCAATAAACTAAGACAAAACGATAACAGCAAAGAGCCTCAGGATAATTTAACCAGGTATGTTATGTGAAATAAACAAACTCATTGAGGTATGTAAAGGTTGATTTAAATGGAAACATGTATCTTGTACTTTTATATTATGATGCCAACTCTTTCCAAATTATTTGCTATAATTCAATCTAAGAGTAGTGGTTCCATGTGAGAAAAGTTTCTATAGTTTATCTGGAAAAAATATAATATTCAAGAAAATGATTAAATGGAAAGTACTAATGTGGTGCTTGTCTTTCCAGCTCCTGTAGGCAGCCTCGATCTCCTCTCTGTCCCACCAGTTTATGTGGGGGTATCTCTACTCTAAGAAAGTATGATGTACATCTATATTCATTGATCTGGAAAAACACCCAACAGGTATTTAATAAAAATAAAACAAAAATTATGAACTTATTCATATAAAATCATGTCTGTCTATAGTTATTTGTACACATATGGAGATTTCTTCAAAGATGTGCACCAACATCTTGGTGAATGTCTTTGATTAGCAACACTGTGATGAATGGTTTAGTGATGCTTTCGTGGGTGATTCTTTGGGATACTTTTGGTATTACTTGATTTTATTAAAAATATAATAATTTCATAAAGAGAAAAATAAATAGAAATACATCCTTCAGTAAATAATGTTAGCTCCAAATATATGATATCAAAGGTGGTCTCTGCTGTAGGAAAAAGAATGTCTGACAAGGTGGTCGAGGCAACACTCTACAGAGTGTTTTGTCATTGTAACTGGCACTTTGCTAAGCCCATTAAACACCCTGCTGATTGTTCCCATGGTTCCTAGCTAGAATATCAAGTATTTGTTATTAAAACAATGCCAGGACAAAAGATTCCATTCTTTCTAGATCCTTGGAATATATTATTTGCTTGCAGAACTATACTACTCATCTCACCCTTTCACGGGGACAAGCTTATATTTTTAAGACAAAATAGCCTGCTTTTAAGCTCTTTGGCTCTATGGGATTGAATTCAAAACCATAAATGATAGGATAATGAATTTTGCAGCTGTTAGTTAAGTACACTTGGAAGACGCCAGTGTGTTCAAAAGATGGGAAACAAAGGAAGAAAAATGATTTCTCTACATGTAAAATAAAAAGTGTTAAGGTAGTGTGAAGCTGCAGAAAATTTTAGAAAAGTTATTCAAGCTTTAGGGTAGCTTCCTCCCTGAGTAGTGTGTTAGTTGGAGAAGTTGTTCTGTTATGTTAACCTATCATCATAACTAATATTTTAATTGTTTTGCTATTCAATGAATGATAGGTCAATAGCAGTGTTACTGTTTTGAGCATTACTTTCTGATTAATTTTAAAGGTGGAGTTTTCTTCCTTATGTAATTCAAGGAGATATTTTTTGGTATTTACTAATATGATTCAAATTAATTTGGAGGCATAATATTTAGGAAAGTCTGTTTCTGACTAGCCTTTATATATTAGACGTATTTTACATTAGTTTGGAGAATATATAATCTAGAAAATAATTTAAAATCATTAAACATATTGCATAAAAACAGGAGGAACTGAAAAATACTACTGAAGTTGCCTTTTAATAAGTTAAGCAATAGAAAATCTAATAACTAGACAATATATACATCTCAAGAACCATTTTCCCCATCTGTTTTGCTTGGTATCATTTATTAGCTGATATTTATCTTAACAATTCACATATATCTTTAGCCCAAATAACATTATATTTATGTAGTTTTCTCAATGAAAATTCTTACCATTTTCAGGACAATTTCACACTTATAATCATTTTGGAGCCTTAAAAAAAAACAATTTTGAAGGCTTGGAAAATACTATTAGTTTCAAGTTATGATGGGTGTAGCATTGTCATTGTTAATAATTCTAAGCTTTGTAGTTTAAAAATAAAGGAACAAAATTCAGCTATAATCTTACCACATTACAATTATTCCCATATAGTTTAATGTTTCTGAAGCTCTTCACCTATATCTGCATGTTACATGGAGCACATGTAGGGGACACAAAGTCTACTCACCTATTCGACAAGTATTTGCTTGTGCCAACAATTTTTCTAAGTACCAGCAATGTAGATGAGAAAAAGAGGTGATGTTTCTACCTTCACACAGCTTGTACTATGCAAATATTTCTTGTTTTAGGTACTGATAAATAATAGTCAAAGGAACAGAGGGCAAAGATCTCTTATCAAGTGTGACCATAAAGTACTTCTCTGATGGGTAAGTACTTCAGGAGAAACCTGAGTAAAGTTAGAATGTAAACTCTGTGATATGGGAGGAGGAGAACAGAATTTCAAGCATAGGGAACAACATTTGCAAAAGCCCTGAGACAGATGTCTTCAAGAAAAAAGAGAGCACACACATGTGGTTGGAGAGGTCCAGAAGCTAAGACAACACTGCTATGGGAAATCATTTATACATGCCTTTCTCCTGGACATGGTTATCTGGGCTAATACAAGGTCTCTGTGCTCTTCTGGCTGACTTATAAGAGTTAAGAGAAGCAGATTGCACGAGGGAGCTGTAAAGATTATGTCTTGATATCACAGATGAGCAAAGAGAATCACATCTGATGCTATCCCAGAGGCCAAATGAACCTGGTTGGACCCAGCATATCTCAGTAGATGAGGGAAGAAATTCTCAGTGACTACTTGGAGGAAGCCTTGATCCAGGGAGAGGAAGTTTAAACTCCTGAGCCCACGGATTGTCCCACGAGAAAAACCAGACAAATGAGGAGAAGATAATTAAAATTCAATGAGTTTTTTATAATACAATATCTGAGTCTCAGAAGAGACTGTTGAACCAAAGAGAACCAATCTCCCTTGAAAGCATTTGAAAGATTTTAAAAAATCTACTGAGACGACATGGAAACTTGAGACAGAATGACATCATCTTTGCATTTTTAAAGTGCACTTTTTGTACATCTGAGTTATAGTGTGCAAACTTTGTCTCTTGCTGTATTAGTGTACCTGGCACGCTGCACATTAAAAGACTTATCATAAGGCATGCAGGCTGCTGTGAGTCTAAACTGATTAATTTGTAGCTTTTAAACTACAAACTATCCTCCAGAGAGGCGTTCCAAATTTCTACAACTCTTCTTTATTTTTATGTCTCTGAGATTTTCCACTCTCACCATAATGTGGTCAAATTCTGCTTCGGATTCCTCCCAGGGCACTCCTAATGTGTCCCTGTAAATCCTTCACTTTCCAAAATTTAGCAGCGTCTACCTTGCTTGCCTTATTCCCCGGTGCCTGACACAGCTGACCAGCCTTGGATCTGGAGGTGGCTGCCTACATATCTTGAGCCTGTCTCAACTACTACTAATATATCATCCAGGGACCTGTCTTTCCCTCTTAAAGCACTGTCTAACTCTTTTTAAAGTCCACGTTTGAAGACATGAGCTCATATTCCAGCTTCAGTCTGGGACATCCACTTTTAAGTGTTGCATGGCTACCTCCCACCTCCTCTATTCTGCTTTTCTAGCAATGATAAATCATTAGCTTTAAACAAGCCTGGTCCTCTGGGAGAGTGTTCTAAATTCATTATGGCTTTTGCTGCTTTCACTTTTGCCCCCCAGAAATGCCCTTACAAAAGTTTAGTGTGTATAATGGATCATACTTCATTGGTTCAGTTCTAGGGTATGACTTGATTTGGGAGCAGCAAAACAATCTGCTTTGTATTATTCACAGTAAATAGCATTAGCTGCCATAAAAACTCATACAGATTTATTTTTCATTCCAGTCTGAAACAAGTTGAGTGGCTTTCTTCAAAGAAGTCACTGAGGAGTCCTATCTAACTCCTTCCATTGATGTGCCTACATCATCTTGGAATCCTCTGGTCTTAGCCATACAGACAAAACAACGTGTGTGCAAGAGACATTTTTTAGATCGGGCATAAAAAGAGTGTGCATCAGTTCTATCCACATGTGGATAGACCTGCCTTCCTTCCCAAAAGGAGATTTAACTTTTTAAAGAAATTTAATGTCTGAGGAGGGGCCAGGACATACAGAATAACACACGCACATGGGTGAGCACTAACGGTGTTGGCCACTGTTTATCTTTCTGGACACCAAAGATCAGGTGACTTTTAACTCTGCACTCAAAGAAAACACCAACCGCATCCTCAGGGAAGATAACTGAAATCCCAGCCAGTTACTATGTCCAGTTCGAACAGCACCTTAGGCTCTGAAATCCTTTGCATTAATCCCAAACATTCTTCCCCTTGACCTTTGAATCTACATACTAAAATAACAAGTCATCCCTTCTCCCTACTTGATATACAAATAAAGATAAGGGACAGGATAAATTCAGGGAAGCTCTGATGGAGAAAAAGGAAAGGGTATCCCTCAGAAGTCCCTGATTCATAGCCAGGCAGGAATCGTGTGCAGTGAGCATGTAAGAGCCTGCCACTTGGGGAAGAGGGAAAAGTTCTCTGTTGAGTTCTAATTATGTTCACTAGGAAGGAATTTCTTATCTAATACTTTCTGTGCCTCATGACTATTTTCTACGTCTTCTGAGAGAAAAATTTTTTTAGCACATGTTTTCACTACATAATCTTTTTTTTTTCTTTCTAATCTTAGAGAGTTTTCTTTATCCATCATTCTTTGTGGCCATATCTGGGGTGACTGTTGGTGGCTATATGTCATTGTTACTTTTCTCATTGCTGAGAAAAAAAAATACCTGACATTTAAAGTAAAAGGAGAGAAGATCTATTTCAGGTCTGAGTTTGTAGCGGTTTCAGTCCGTAGTCAGCTGGCTCCAGGTCAGGGAAGCATGGCAGAGGGGCATCGCAGAGGAGAAACAGTCCATGGTATGGCAAGCAGAATGCAGAAAGCAGCAGCACCTGTTTCCCTTTCCCTTTTATCTCATCCAGGCTATAAGCCTTTTGGCTGGTGACACCCACAACCCAGGTTGGGCTTCCCATTATCCACACCCAT